ATGCACTTGTTCCTAGTAGCTTCTTGTTACTACTAGTAAGTACTACTAGCGTGGCACTTGTTTCTAATAGCTTCTTGTTACTACTAGTAAGGCACCTGTTACTACTAGCGATGCACTTGTTCCTAGTAGCTCTAGTAGCTTCTTGTTACTACTAGTAATGCACTTGTTACTACTAGCGTGGCACTTGTTTCTAATAGCTTCTTGCTACTACTAGTAAGGCACTTGTTACTACTAGCGTGGCACCTGTTACTACTAAGCAAACACAAACGTTCGCTTCTGTCGCCCATGTGCGACACAGCTCGACACAGTCTGACCTCACTGGTTGAAAGGTTGAAGCGAAAGCGTCACTGGGTTGGTCAATAGTCTCTCCATGCCTCCATATCATCAAAATCAAAGGCCATGTGTACTATCAACTATCAACCAACCATCGCTCACACGTCGAGAAGCAGGGGGGGCGGGGGATACCGTAAGGTGTGTTCCCAAGGTTGGATCCTCTGCCGTGTTGACAGTTATATACTGATTGTCTTGTTCAAAACCTGATCTGAAGCGTGTGTCTTCTGTGTCTTTGAGGTACTTTGGGTTTTGAACACTGATCTGCTCTGAGCTTGCATGGTACACATGTTCAAAACACTTATGCCAGCGAGGCAGAGTACTGGAACAAATGAGTATCGGTTGTATTCAATCGAAGTGAGCAAAGCAAGAAATCCAACATGGGATTGAAGTGCAGCACTAAGAAAACCGCCCAATGCAGTCTCTGCCTGGAGAGGGAATGAGTAGAACGACTGGCATTACTACATTGTTCCAAAAGGGAGACCAAGATGTGCATGTCTCCATACTGGAGACCAACAGCTGAGAGACCAGCATGCCGTCTCGCAAGTGCAAAAAGGCCAGCCTGTTGAAGGTCAAAACAAGCATGAGTCCAAAGCACCAACTACTGATATTTCCAAGTCCGTCGTCCACTTAACTTCTCTCCAATGAAACCTCTCAAAGTGGTGCAAATTTCAACGATAAAGAGACCACATGGCCTTGGTAGCGCAAAGGGAGAGGTTCAGGTGCAATGCAACCAGTTGGCCGCGTCTTGTCGAGGCCTGGGCACTTGTTGAGGATGGATCCTTGTTGCTTGTTGTGTTTACAGCATCCGACATACTGTTTCACGCGCTTTGCAGGCCATTGCAGTGGAAAACATGTTTTGTAATAGTAAATATGTATGTGTATATATATATATGAAATCAACATGTTGGCAACCTCCAGGCACCCTGCCTCCTTCCACCCTGTTCCACCCTGCCTCCTCTTCTGACATCTTCTGGAGTGGGTGTTCACCTTCACACGCTTCCCGAATATAGGCTCCTCAGGTGAGGAGACCCAACATCCAACGGATCCAGGTCTTCAACGAGTCTCATTTCAGCCTGAATGGAAGACTTGAAGTTTGACAACTCTCGTTGAAGACGGACAAGGATTTCCAACTTAATGTGCAAGAGGTTCTAAGCCTAGTCTCATCAAGTGCCTTCGATCATTGCTATGCCTTGCATTTGTTTCTTTGGAAAGGCCAAGATGCCTTGAATGTGGCCCCGTTCTGTCGGGAAAAGCGCCTGTCTGGTTGCTGGGGACGCAGTGAATTTTGAAGCTGTGCTCCATCAACTTTGATCCCACATATTTTATCCAGAGCGTAATGAGAACCTGTTGGGTTACAAACATGTTACACTTGTCGCAAGCTATATCACTGCTGTGAACATCATGATTCAAGTCATTGGCATTGTGGAAGCACGGGTTGAATCCGCTTCAATTGATGTTGGCCGGCAGGACACAAAACGGTGATCCGCAATGACTGATGGCCAATCCTGACTTGTTGATACTTGTGGCATGTTTATGGTGCACCATTTTCCAGCTTTGAGTTCTCTCGATATGTAGACATACATGCGCATCAAACAAAATAACAACCGTGAGCACATTTAGTATAGACTTCCAACTGAACCATACTTTCTGCGCAAAGTAGCCAAGGCCGTGCCGACCTTGTATAGGGGACTTCGCCGCACGGCATCAAGTCTCAGAGCAGTGTCAATATGCACGTGAAATCAAAAATGAACGAAGACATGAAACAAGAATGCGCAATCAAAAAGACAGGCGGTTCGCCAAACACGGAAATCTATCTGGCATAATGTTTTGCGTCAACGTGATATCCGCTGGTCTATGCTGGTCTTGATGACCTGCAACCAAGAAGCGCTCTTCGATATGCTTCGGACGCTTCTTCAAAGCGGCCGACCTTCGCAAGTGCCTGAGTGAGACCAGCGTCGGTGAGCTGAGCTCATTCAGCTCATCCAGTCCACAGCTCATTCGGCGAAAGAAACGCTCCTTCATCCCTAGCAGTTTCAAAAAACAAAACTATCTTTCAAATCTTTCAACGTGTGGATGCTGGTAAGGTGTGAACGTTGCCATGGGCCCTCTCCAGTTCCAGAAAATGTAACTGCCCCTCCTCCTCCTTCGCAAAGGAAGCAGGAGGAATGATGCATTGCGCAATTGAGCAATGGAATTGGACATTCAGGAACAAAAAGGAGGCACTCGGAGGACGAGTTCCATCTTCTACCCATACTTGCTTTCACACATTGCTCCCACTTTTGCTGCAAACAAACTGCGCTGGTTCAGCCCAACATATCAGTGTCCAGCAAGCACAAATCAACAGCTTCGGTCGCCGCCAGCAAGACCTGTGCATCACAGCAAACTTGAAAACAAGAGAAAATGAAGGCTGCGCAGCCGAGCACAGTAGAACCAAGCACAGGACCAGCTTAAATCCTCAAAGAAACGGATGCAGAATGATGCTGAATGATCACGAAGATGTTTCGTGTTCAAAGGTCTCTTGAATCTGCGTGTCCACCTATCTAAGTGCAAACAAAAGGGCTTCCGTCATCTGGCAGGCTGACGTCGCTCCAACTGATGACTTCTCCCTGCATCATCCAGTCTGATGGGATCGGCAAGAGGTGTGGAGCACCTGGCAAGAGGTTCATTGAGGTCCAATACACAGAAGATAAGAATTAAAAGTGTCTTCGGAACATGTGTATAGATCCCTCCAAAGCATATACTAGCGACCTTCTTTGGGCGACTCTTCATTCACCTCAGTACCAAAATTCCTCCCATAAAATTGGTGAGACTGCACTCTATGTGTTTGATTGAATCTCAGAGCCTGGCATCACCACGCGCCAGCACCACCTCTGCCTCTACATTCAGCAAGTCACTCAGCCTTGCCATGGAAGCTTTTCGAGCGGACACAGAGGTCGCGGATGGGACACGTCGATTGAAAATGGCATGCAGATGCTACCAGTAAGGGCGATCTTCACCAACTTGCTGGTTGGATGCTCAGCTGCCAACCATGGCTCGAGTTCATCCACAAGGAGCTTTCGCCTCGCATGGATCTTGGCATTGAAAAGGGACGTGGCCCGTTGACAGGCGTACACAACGACTTTCTGCTAAGTTCCTTGCAACGGCGTCTGCCCCTGATAGCTTGGGCCTGAAACAGAACTGCCCTAAAAATATTGCCGTTCAGTGCATGTTGGCGGCACGAATTGCAAGTAATGCCGGTCAAGGCGAGCACCAGCATAGCAGCATATTCTTGTAAATCTTGTAAGTGGTGGTGGTATGTGCTATTTTCGGAAGCAAAGCTTAGCAGTAGGGGGTTCCAAGGTTTAGAGTTTAGACATGTTTAGACTGTGTAGCCCTCGGTACATGTTTTGCAACAGGACCCTGTCGTGGTTCGTTTCGTCTCGTCGTCTGTTGGTCCTGTTGGCCGACAGGACTGCACTGACTTGGACGCTTCAAAGGCTGCGCTCTCACAGAAGCGCATGCTTGCCTCGGGCTCAGCACGGAGCCACCACTGCGGCAGGAACATTCAGCCGAGAGTAGAACGGCAGCGACGTCCAAATACCCAGGTACAGCCTTAGAAATGTCTGTTGCAAGATCGACGTCGCACAAATGACTGTCTTCAGTTCTGTTTATCTTGCTCTCTACCCCAAGGCATTGTCTGAAAATTTCTCAAGGCAGAAACCCCTTCCCCCATGCGCCAGGACAGGAGAGAAGCTTTGCCTCAGTCTTCAACCCGCACCTCCTCCGAAACTAGCAGACTAGCAGCTAGCAGTGGTGTCAAGACATTAAAAGAGTGTATGAGGCTCAACACAATGCATCAGGGCTAGGTTCGACGAGTTCTGCCCTCAACGAGCCTTGCCTCCACCTGCCGCCAAGGCTGCCAAAACCATGCTTCCAGCCTCCCCCAGCGAATTCAAGCAAGCAAACAAACGAACGAACGAACGAACGACAGAACAATCAAACTAGTTCTTAATGTTCTTTGTACGTATGAGCAAGGTTGAAAGAAACAGCATATTGTGGTCATATCAATTGCATAATCTTCTTTCAATTGAAGTTCGGCATTGCCAAACATAGCCGCCAATGACATCAAATCGTCACTGCTTGACTGACCTGACCTCAATGTCATGGCTCCTTCTTTCTGGGCCCTGATGGATCTCAGTCTTCCTGAGAACTCTTGGACCAACAGCCTGTTGCTGCTGAAGCTTTGCCCACAAAATAAGCAAAGCATCTCGCATGCAGTCCAACACAATGAAACGATACCAAAAGGAATTGAACTGAGCTGTCAGCAGCATGCACGATGCAGCACCTCAAAGCTTTGGATGAGAACATCGGCTAACGCACTGATTCCAATTTAAAGAAATACAATCTTGATTCTTGACCATAATTACTTGGGAATGGAGGTGTCCCTGTCTCCAGGCCTCCATTCTGCGCTGAAGCCTCAACCTGCCCACTTCAGCAATGCAAACAAGCTGAGGATTCTCACGATGGAAAAAGGATTCTTCTAGACTACCTCCTCCGGACCTTTCACAAGTGCCTCCGTTCCTGCTTTATAGACCATCAATTGATTCTTTGAGGAAGGCAAAGGAGCACACTGAGACAGTCGTTGATTTTCATGCACAGCCAGCTTTGGCTCTTAGTTAATTGAAAGATATTGAAAGGTTTAGATGAGTTTGCCCAGGCGCCTGCCCCATTTCGACAAGCGTATTCAGCAAACTCACAAATCCCTAAACATTGAGGACGCTAAGGTAGTAGCGGAATATTCAATCCTGATTCAGGCTGGAAAACCGTGGACGTGCTGGCATTGCCCATGTATTGCCGACAGCGGCTTCCACGAGCTGGGTGAATTCCTATCGCTGTCTCCAATGCGTTGATGTTTTCTCGGATCCATTCCACATATTGTCTAGCTCGACATAGTCTGGCCTCGGGCTATCGTCCAAACTGTCAGACCGTTCCTTCAAACTGGTCTAAAGGACCGCTCCTGCCAAGCGACTTGGATCCTGAGGAGCCACTCTCACTGTCCTGAGTCAAGAATCCGAAAAGTGCCGGAGGAAGGGTAGCATACTTGTCCAAGGAATTTTGGAAGGTTCAAGCGTCCTTTTCTGCACTCAAACAGCTTATAAGTACGGGAATCATTCGGAAGCCTGGACGATTCGTCGAACAAGACGAAGAACCTCGAGCAACCAAGTCGCATCTTTGCCACAATGATCTGCTAGTCGGGCCCAAGCATCTTCAGAGCCCTGTCACCAGAGACGTCCCTCTCATGATCCCACGTCTTTTATTAACCTGTGGATGGAAAGCAACCCATATTACTCTTTCGGCCACGCCAAGGTCAAAGAAGGCCGTTGCAAATAATAGTGATCAGTATGTTATGTATATTATATAAATATATGTGTGTGTCTTTTGTGTTTGTGTATTAAATATAGATAGATAGATAGATAGATAAATAGATAGATAGATAGATAGGTAGATAGATAGATAGGTAGATAGGTAGATAGATAGGTAGGTAGGTAGATAGCTAGCTAGCTGGGTAGGTAGGTAGATAGATAGAGACTCTTCGGTAGGGAAGAGCGTGAAAAGAGGAGTTTAAACGAATTATCTCTAGAGTCTAGAGTTAATGTTTGTATATACATGGTGTGTCACAAGCTCCTCTCGGCCGAAATGCCCTGGTAGCTTAGGCTGGAGCCCCGGTCCCAAATCCGGGGGCCACGTTGCGAAGCCTTTGCTGTGATATCAGGCTGGAGCGAGGGTGAGTGGGGGGCGCGACCCACGTGATGCCACCAACCACAGAAGAACGTGGCAACCTTCGCACAGAAGAACGCGGCAACCTTCGCACAGAAAAGAGCAATCATGAGAGCACTTCGGCATTTGTTTCTATGGGGATGGGCGCGATATCATGGGCAATTGATTCAGCAAGAGGCGCACCTAACTGCCTTTTTTCCAAAGGAAACGGCGCGGGCAGTTTTAGGCACTGGCAGACGATGGTGGTAATCCCTTGCCGTCGCAAAGCTGCGCTGCAGAGTTTGACAAGTCAAACACTCTCGCGCATGTTCAAAGGCTGTGGGCTGGCTGGGCCTGTGGGCTCGCCGGCAGCAGAGGTGAAGACTGCATTTGACTATAGGCCGACATGACTGTCACCCAACAAAACATTTACATGTTCACGAAACAAACACATTGCAAACGCATACAGTACTTCAAGTACTGCAATGTGAGGTGGTCTGCAAGCCCTTCCTTCTCGCCACGGCGGTCCACATGCGCCGACAGGAGTCACTCCTGGCATGAGACATGAGCCGATATAGGAGTCACTCCTGGCAACCCTCACTGTAAGTTGCATTAGAGTTGTATTTGGTTGTTCGTTCAACATTCCAAAGTATGTCATAACCAAGCAGTTCGCAGTTCTGGTACACAGCCAGTTGACAGACCATTCCCAACAATCCATTCCGCCTGACCTCCGCGCCGAGCAAGAACATACTATACCTTCAACAAACGAGCGGCGAGACTGTCGCCAAAAACAACGTTCGAATGTGTATGAAACAAACAAACAAATCCTATCGTCGGCGGGCGACACATTGCCGAGTGAACAAATGCGATGGTCAACCTTGGCAGAGCGCGGCAGTTCGCGACCACTGGCCCATTGAGGTTCATGTTCGGCTGCCGCAGCAATGGCCCGCTGAAAGACAGAAAAGCAGTGCTATCACTTGGAATGAGCATGCAATTGCTATGGAGGAGGCTGCTTTACTTCCAGAGCAACCCTTGGTTTCCAATCAGTCTTGGCGGTTGCGCGTAGTCTTGCGCGCGCTGCAGTTGACTGCCATCATGGAGCAAGCTCGCAAGGCTGTCAAAGCCGACGTCCAAGCTTGGAACAGGCATCTTCTTCAAGAACTGGATGATGCGACAGCGGCTCGGGGCCACAAGACAGCTTGGAGCGTCTGCCCGTCGTCTTGCTGGCGCGACAACCGCCAACGCACAAGCCGTTATCCAAACAGGCTTGGCTCGAGCATTTCCGCAAAGTACAACTGGCCACTGAAGCAACTGAACCAAGTCAAGCTCCTAGCGGTCTTAACTGCGGGCAATTGCCCGGCTCTTTTCAGCCTTTGTTTTCTGGTGATGCGGGGCGCCAAGCGCTGGCAGCTGCTGCAAGCAGTATGCCCAGAGGCAAGGCCACACCTCATGGAGCGCTTGCTGCAGAGTCCTCCGCTACCACACCAATACGGGTATCCGCCCCACCGACCGCGCAGGGATGCCATCCTGCAATTGACCGTGCTCTTAGAGCGACTAATTAAAGCAGGAAAGCGTTTGCACAAGCGCCAACCTGTATGACTTGACCAAGGCGTTTGACATGTTGAGCAGCCAAAGTGTCCTGGCGAACTTGCAAAATGATTCTTTTCTGCGCCCAACTCTCTCTTTTGGCAGACATGCAAGGCAGACTTCAGATTGTTGGACAAGCACTGTTGGGAGTCAGACTGGGAGCGGGTGTCCTGCAAGGCGGTGGAACTGGCCTTCGGCTGTTCGGGTCTATGATGATGCCGTGCACAACTGGCAACGCAAATCGCTTTCTGAACCAAGTCTAACGACAGTTGTCTATGAGGGGCTTGAGCTTGATCTCTCGACTGCTGCGTATGCTGATGATCTGGTGCGCGTGGAAGCTGCCACTGCTATAAGTGAAGTAGAACACAGGACTGTGGAGCACACGAAGGCATTGAAAGAAGTTTTGCGCCCACATCGCTTGGCGCTCAATCTGAGCAAAAGCGGGTCTCTTGTTGCTGCGCGCGGTCGTGGCGCTTATGCTGACGCTGCTCGCGCTTTTGGTGGTGCATGGACCGGGCCTCCGATTAAACAGTCGGTCAAGTATCTGGGCGCCCACATTGACGCTCAGTTGTCTTTGAGGCTGGAAATTACCAAGCGCATTGCCGCAGCAAGAAACAGTTTTTTCCTTGTCGCGTTCCACAACTTCACAAGACTCGGGTTTTCAAAGCTGTCATCAATGAAGCGCTGCTCTCAGCTCTGGAAGTGCGAGCACTCTGCGCAACTGATGCGCAGAGGCTCGAGTCTGCCAGGGGGATGATGCTACAGAGGCTTTTTTGCAAACGGGGGTTTGGCGCTGCTGTTCTTGGTGAAGAAGAGCATCGCGTTGTGCCTCTCACTCTGCTGAGAGAACTCACCGGCTTGGTCGAACTTGGTGTAGAATTGCGCGCTCGGAGGCTTTTTGTGGCTCCGCTGCGCGCTTGTTGCAGAAAATGGCGTGAACTACGCCTGGATCTTCCTGCGCTGTTTGGGAAGATGCATCGTCAGGCTGAGTCGCCTGTCGACCCCAGTGGCAGGCTCAACAATTGCGCTGCAAGTCGTCGTACCAGGGTGGGCAGGATTTGTTGAAGGGTGGAAGGATAATCTTCTTGCGCTTCCACCTGCTCAAGTGAGATGGCGTTTGGACCAGAGCAACGCCCTTCCTCGTGCGCCAGAGAGAAACGACTCACCGTTTCCTCACCAGCGATTTCAAGGCAAACCTTTTTGCTGCAGTTGGGGGACGCTGCTTCAGTTTGTGTTTTACCTGATAGGACCTGTCCGGATTCCCTTGACGCAGTCGCGGATGAAGCATGGCTGGAGGGGATCTACTGCGGGAGATCAGGAAGCATGACGTTTGGAACACGCTGAACAGCCAGACGTGTCGGATGCGTCAGAGAGCTTTTACTTTTACTGAAGTCTCCGCCTGTCGCAGACATGTCCAACACCAGTCATGTGAAGCTATAGTTAACAACTATGGAGCAGCGGATGCCATCGCCGGATTGATGCAGCGGGCTCGAGCAATTGCCGAACAGCAAGCGCCACACTCGTCCCTTCAGGTCGAAGCGTCCTCGCTCCGATGTCTCCTTCAGCAGCAACCTAGACCAGCAGGTCAAGCAGCTGACCCATCAAATGCAAATGCTTATGAAGGTGGTCACGATCGAGGAAGCTTGGAGTTGCACACCTTTTTGCTCAACAGCGAGAGTGTGCTAGGCAAGCAGCTATTGACAGCAATGGAGAAGTGGAAGTCTCAAGTGCCGGAATCCGGTCCCCGCCCTCTCGGAGCTCGGAGGTGGACGGTCGCGGGCACAGTGCTTCTACAGGACACTGAGCATGCTGACAAACTTGGCAAGCTCAAGGCTTTTCACGACTCTTTGGCACTGCCCGATATGGAGCAATCCGTGCAATTGGCAGTGGCCAAAGAGACCCTCGGCTGCAAAGACAATCGGAGTGGAATGAAGCTTTTGTGGTTCTCAGTGAAGTTGTGCCAAGCGCTGCTCCACGAAGCCCACTTGATCCGCCAATCAATTAGTAAGTAGGCAGCGCAAACACGGGGCTTTTCCCCCGTCGCCAAGCCCCCGCTACTGTCGGGGGGTTGCAGGTGTGCAGTCACAAGCTGTTTCCTTTTGACTTTCTTATCTCGCCCTTTTCCGTTTTTGATCTAGATCATCTTATGTGACCGTCCACTTTTGCGTGAGCAATTGGCTTCGCTTGGTGGTCACTACCACACGAATGTGTGCGCAACTTAGCGTTGTGCGGAGCCCCGGCCCGAGTTTCACTTGTCGTGAGTGGACTCATGCGGACAGTCAACAGTCAACAGTCAACAGTCATGGTGTGTCACGTCTGTTCATGCCAAAAGCAATCAAATCGAGGGTTAATGTTAGCAAGCGGATTGTCATAGGCTTTGTCTTGATATCCTCAAGGTCTCTTTCTGATGTCTGGCAATCATTCAATAGTGATGTGTTGGGTTGCCCTATAGGGAGGCCCTGGGGAGGAATGTCCCTGGGGGGAATGCCCCTGGGAAGGAATTGCATCAAGAGTTAATACTTCGATACGCGCAGAAGAGTTGAAAAGAATTAAAACTAGAGTTATTTCTGAGAACAGTACGTGTGGAGACCTTGGTTGTAAAAGAAATACCTCTTGATATTATGTTGAACTCTTCTTTTCACACCTTTTCAATGGATGGATGGACGGACGGACGCACGGATCGATCGATCGACAGACAGCCAGCCAGGCAGGCAAGCAAACAAATATTGATAGATAGATGATTGGGTTGTGGCCAGGTTGGTGCTAAAATTGTTTTCTGGGACCCAACAGTTCGATGGAGTTCCGATCCTCAGCCAAGCATTTGCTGAACTGTCTCAGCCGTTTGTAGACCTCAGCAAGGATGTCGGCATGGTGCTTCAAAGACTTGTGAAAAGAGGCATTGCTTCGTCTGAAATACAAGATCTGATCTGCTGTTTCCCTCCAGGTCAAACGGTTTACAGTCGCGCTTACGATGAAGGGAGCATTTGCTTGATTCGGGAAGCACTATATAACTCCAATCGGGAAGCACTATATAACTCTAATCATAGGTACTCTCAATGCGTTTTGGATGGATTGCCGTGATGCTCACGGCTTCGGTCTCAGTTTCACTGCCACTGGCTATGGTCCTCCTTTGCGTTCACATGTTTCACGGAGGTCCTCTACCTGTCTTCTCAAGTTCTACACATCGACCATGATGGCCATGATGAGTACAATGCCAGTGTCTACACGGGTTGCTCGAAATCTCTTGATCATGCCACTAGCAAAGTTTCCAGACGAGTGAGAGCCAACATTCTATGGCCCAAACCTGGTAGAAAAAACCTTGCTACTGGTGCACGCCCCGACACTCAAACTCTAGAGACTCTACCCCTTACTCATTGAGTGCAGGTATATAGACAGGTAACCCCCACCAAACCATGTATGGGAGGGTATGGCTCCTGCTCAGGTGACAGCCCTGTCCCAGCTACATCAGACAGACTGTCCTCTCAATGGATCCAAGAGACTGAGATCAACTCCACGATCCTTGGGCAATGCAAGCAATGGGCGCTTAGCACTTCAGCCAATGGGCAAAACGATGAGATAAAGTTTGTTCGAAGATGCTGATGGATCAACTGGAGACACACAAGATCAACTGATCGTTTCCTACACAGAAGAGTGTCCAGTTCTCAACGTCTGTTCAGTTCCAGGGATCTGTGTCCAGTTCCGGACCAAAAATTGAAAGGCTCGCTCCACGTTGGCGAAGGCATTGACCAACTGTTGCAAGGAGCCCAAGGTGATCCCACCATCGGCGATACAGGGGACGAGAACAATATATGGCATCACAATGCCAAATTGCAAATATGAATACCTGGCTGTTGGAGGCCATCGCTATTAGGTTCACGGCTCTCCACGGCTCGAGAAGGTTTCTTGGTGCTACAAAGAGCGATACTTGGTACCACAAAGGTCGGTGCATGAAAAGGCGAGGCACAGGGTTTGCTCTGATTTTTCTTGTAGAGTGCATTCTAGGATCTATAATGTGTACAAAAGAACAGGAAATCATGTCAAATTGATGGTTTGCAAAGGATCACGGGCGGCTTGCCAACTCTCAGTTGCTTGACTTGAGGGCTCTTTTCTGGAAGGTTGTTCTAGTTCCAAGGCACTTCGCAACATCAAAATACATGAAATTGAAGTAGAGCCGGAAGTAGCCTCACGTTGAAGCATTGAAAGAGCCGAGGCTGATGTTATGACTGCTTTCGCGCCGTTTGAGATGAACATGGGATTTCGGTAGAATTGTGAGAGGATGGTCGGGAGCATTGCGCAATGATGCCATGCTTGCATGTGACTTGGACTGGGTAGGTCTCCAAGGCGATTCCTGAAAAGAAGCTGCCTATCCCACAGAAATGAAGGGATATACTGTATATTTCAAACATCAGGGCTGGTTCTGCCAGATCAAGGTGGAGTCACATGTCCGAAAGCCAATCTCCAAGCCATTGGTGAGACAAACGAACGAAGGGAGCTGCAGCCATGGTGCACACAGCCTTGAGACACTCCTGGTGTTCCTTCGACAACACCTACCGAACCCACCGCACTTGCCACACTCTCCTACAGCTAAAGGGAAATATTTGCATTCAGTGTGTTGGTGTGTGTTGAGAATGATAGTTGTCCTCCTTATGAGCTCCCTTTGGGCTTGCAAAAGCCGAGGAGCTGTCACGAACGGCCTGGAATAAATCCTCCACCACACCAGGCTGTGCGCGATCCGCTTGGTCTTCACCATAGACAAGCTCCTGATGTTAACAAAGACATCAAGTCTTACTTTCCAGTTGTGCATTACTCTGACTCAGTATCATGGAAATGCAGGAGTGCTGACGGCAGTTTGAAAATGAAAGTGCCAGAAAGGTTATTTGCAAACAGCATGGGTCAGCCCATCCTGTGGTTTTAGCATGGACTTATGGATTTCCCGAGCTCTCAAATGTTTGCTGTTATACCAAAGTATAACATGGTGTCCTTCCGGAGAGCTGCTTCGACCAACTGGTTCTGATATTTCAGCCCAGGAAGTCGAGCGCCAATCAGCCCCAGACCAACCGTTCCAAAGAGTGCCCAGGCAATGGTCAGCTTTACCTGAGGGATGGAAAAAAACACCTCCAAGCCCAAGCAATTCCACGAAAAAAAACGGCGATCCACCGGGTATGCTCTCACAAACAAAACTCTTTCAGACGGGCTTTGTTTTTGTCACGTCTCCATGTGTAGACTGACCAAAAAGGAACCAGGACTCCAGAAAAGCTGCCATTGGATGTGACACCTCCCCAATCAAGGGAAGCTCGTGCACTTTCTTGGAGAGTTCCATTAGAATCGGCAGGAATGCCAGGAGTGTGAGTACAGATTGGAGAAAGGTGGCACCAATCGCTTCCACCATCTCAGCGAAAAGCCTTGTATCCTCCTGAACCCTCTGACTCGCCCCTTCGATACGACGTAAGAGCGGCCAGTGACGCATGTAGTAGTCATTCATGGCCTGACGCCAACGAAATGTCCAGTGCTTTGTAAAGAAGGCCAGCAGCACCGCCACAACGATATAAATCGCTGCTATGCGTGAGAAGGTGAAAATATTTCCATAGAGCTCCTCACGAGATAGGCTTCCCTTTTTCTCGAGAGCCTTCTGCAGCAAGTCATAGAAATCCCCAAACCAGGAGTTAATTCGGACATCCAAGTGGACTTGATACCAGGTGCCAGCACCGATCACCAGGATTCCAAGGCATGACCAAAGAGCCCATTCTTGGGAGCAATAAAACTCTCTCCACATGAAGTGCTTCTACGATGTATTCTCTCCAAACCCCTTGAGCTTTCCCAGCTACGGTAAACCAAGTATTGCAGCACCAAGTGCTGCACTGCACCATCCCAATCCATTGGATTGCCACCTTCATCATCGCTTGCATCATCATCTATCCGTATTTGGTTCATCTTTGCGGGGTCTGCCAGATTCAACTTCGGGAATCTAAAGTGGATGTATGCTCATGCTCAGTGAGCAACGAGACCTTTTTCTGGTGAGCTCACGTCATCTCCAAACTCAAGTAGTTTGGCAAAAGGCACTCTAAAGCAATCCCTTGCATCAAAGTAAAATAGAAAACAGCAAAGCACCACCTCCGGCCCAACTGGAAGTAGGTCGCGTCTTCGCCAGCGCAAAAGGCTCACCTCCTTTGCGCGTAAAATTGTCATGTTCTGACTGATCCAGGCAAACGGAATACGGATCAAGCTGGCATTAAAGCCGGAGGCACACATTCACCCTTGTGTCGGCGCTTGCTGGTGTCATAGGTCAGTTCCCAGTGACTATAACTTCATTTGCAAACTTGAGTATCCGGCCAAGCTTCTCCTGGCACTTTTTACCAAATCATCGTCCAATTCGATCTTAAAGTTGGTGTCTAACGTTCAATACTTCATTGAGACACTGCGCTTTGAGACTAAAGTCAGAAGGTCAAACACATGTTCCAAAACTTGCTTGACAAGGCAGCAGTACTGTGGAGGATCAGCCTCTCCCGAGTCCTTCCAAACATAAACACTTCTGAGTTTGCGCGCGTGGTCTTCTTACGATGCTGCGCATATATATATAATATATATATATTATACAGGATAGTGGTTTAACCTCTGAAGATCATAAGGTCAACGTTGCTCGCTTGCCTTCTTGCTTGCTTGCAGTAGTGTAGTATGTTCATTGCGAGTCCGCCAAACTCAAACTAAGAGCCTCAGGCAAAGCTGCAGCGGAGCTTAGCCGCCTGGTTGGCTCTCAAGAGGCAAAACTCACAAACCACAGAGGATGTGCTCTGATGTTCTATTTTCAGAATATGGGTTCGTGTCTATGAATAACACAGAAACAAATCAGCACATTGTGCCTTTAGAGTATAGTATGTTTGAACAAAAGGAGTTCACCTCACTCTTTCAACTGCATATCGTTTGTTCCGGTTTGTCCTTTAAAGAGCTGGGCTGACGCAAGACAACGTTCTTCCTCCTCGCACAATGATTACAGACTTGAATCCTAGGGACATTTGAGCAGAAACTTGTTGAAGGAAATCTCTCAATTCAGCATTGGCAGTCAAGTTAAGAAAAATTGCAAAAGAAAAAACACAGCCTAGAGTCTAAAGGAAAAAATGTCAAGAGTAAGAAAGGAAGAAGAATCTATGCAAGCGGAAATCAGCCAATGTAGGATTCGTGTTGCCCAAAAGCCCAAACCAAAACCAATTATGGCCCCAGAAAGTTAGTCAAGGCAAGGATGTTGGGTTCCGCAAGCTCAACTCGACCATCCTTAATGAACTGATTCCATCTGGTTCAAGCATGGCGAAGGGGGGCTAACTAACACCAACAGCATGGATCAGCATGCTGATCAATATTGAGACGACTGCTTGTCAAGTGTCATACAGAACAACCCGCACCTTCATAGAGAGGAGGACATGATATAGACCGCTGAATGGGAGCTTGTCCTGACATCACGTGGTCAGGGCCACAGCATGTAAGGAAGAAACAAACAATCAAAACCGAAAGGTTTGAAGGTCCCAAGGAAAGAACTGAAGGTCCCAAAACACAGCGACCCCAGATTCAGATGATTGCATTTTGGATAGAATAATAAGAAAACTCATGAGGCGTGATGCGATCGTTCGGTCTCTTGCCGCCAACCAGATTCAGAATGAAAAGAGACAAGCAGGGCGAGAATGTCATGAGATCAGGTGACAGCGACACAGCGATCGGCTTCCAGGCTTCAGCATCACAGGGTTCAGGGCTTCGAACCAGGCTTCCAGGCTTCCAAGTTGCGATCGAAGCCCGGCTCCAAGGTCAGTAATAGGGTTCGAGAGTTCCAAGGTTTCAGGGGTCCAGGTGAAAAGTTGCGATCAGAGCATATCAGATCTTCGTTCTAAGATTCCAGGCGACAAGTTGCGAGCAGGGCCCTGGTAGGTTCTAGGGTTTCCAGGCGAGTTAATCACGGCCTGGCTAGGAGCAGTAAGAAAGCCTGTATCTTCCGGCTGTCTGGGAAAAGGGTCTATGGCGAAGTTGCTTCACAGAACTGTTCAGCATCTCTGGCCTCGCCCAAGGTCAGAGTGCAGGTTTCACTCCTGCAAACAGGCCCCAAGAAATCAATTTCACTTGAACTCACCCATCAAATTGCAAGCAGCAATGCGCAGCCACACTCACCGGATTTAGACAGAGAGCATTAAGCTTTAAGTTGGACCACGGAACAGTGGGCTTCCTGTCTCTTTCACCCTCAAGGCAGTAGGAGAAGGTCACGACCTTGCAAAAGCAGCCAAGGAGAAGCGGTTGACACCACATTGAACAGCAAAAGGCGTGAGCAAATACTTCCTTCAACTGGGCTCCAGTCATCACCTTTTCGTGGCCTCAGCAAGGACTCTCATGAAACGCGCGAAACCGAAACCACCGAGAAAACCGAGTCATCTTCCACCACCACCAATCCTCGGCGCCCCAACTGGCGCCGAGAGGATCCCACTTGGAGGATCCTCTTGGTGACGCTGCGATCCTCCGTCAAGGCCAAGATGCAAACCATGCCCAGGAGTTCCACGCGGGCACGAAACATCGGCGGCGAAGTGGCAGCCAAAGTTTCTCCCTTGTCAGTGGCCTAATCCCAGCAACAATGAACGGTTTCTCGTACTAAGGAATTGGGATTGCTCACTCTCAGAAAAAACAGTCACTCCGCACCTCTTGCTTTGCCTTGCGAAAGTTCAAAAGATCCTTCTTTGCCTGAATGGGCACGCAGAGTCTGTGTTGAAATCACAAAACCCCCAGCAAGAGTGCAAGCGGGTGTAAAAACGCCCAGAACAGAATTAGTACCGAAACAATTACACAAGAAGCTACTAGGTGGAGGCGATCGCTATTTGGTTGGAGGCCATTACTACTATAGTAACAAGAAGCTACTAGTAGCTTTTTGCTACTAGTAGTAATGCAGTATATTACAGTGTGTTTCCACTCCGCCTGCTCCGAGATGGCACGTGGCGCTGCCGGCAGGAAGCGATGCCTCCTTTTCACCTTGTCCGTCTTGGGCAGAACCCCCGGTTGGGTCCGCAAGCTGCGCCCGCAGAGCGGGGAGGTCACGGCGCTGTAGACCGCAGGGGCTCGGACTTCAGCCACCTCTCCGACACGCATGTGCTTCACGGCAAACTCCACAGCCAAGGGGAGGTGATTGTCACCCATCTCCACTGTGACAACATCATCTTCAGGACTCTCTGTGGAGCCGGAACCAGGAGGATTATCAGAGCCATCCAGTTGAATTGTCGAGAAGCGCAGAGTGACGATGTCATTCTGTCCAGGTCGCTCCAAGCCTTTCCCCACCTTTTGTATTACCTTCCTGACAGCTCCATCACGGCTGCAGGTGTTCTCATCCCCCACATGATCCTCGGGTGGCTCATCATCCGAATTCCAGTCGGGAGGTGCGTCCGACAGCGTGGATTGGATGTCAGACTCATCATCTTTGAAGGTCATGGTCGCAGTTCCACACGCTTCAAGTCGAGCATGGCGCTATCGGATTGTATCTACCTGGTGTCATGAAATCATGTGCTGGAGCAAAGGGCGTTCATATACGTTTTCACGATGATGTTTCAGACATCCAGGTTTACAACCACCGTGTTCAAGAAACAGAACGAAACCACGATAGTTTTTCTTGATTCTACCATGATGATTCGATGACTGTTGATTTCGATGTCTCAGTAACCTTTGGTCATTGCTTTCTGTGCGGAACAGTGGCTGTCTCAACCTTCTGGCTCGCTCGGTCACGGAGCGAGCAGAAACGGTTTCACCAAACGATCTCATCTGAAAACAATCTCATCATCTCAGCAACCAAACAGCGCCAAACAAGTCGAAAAAAGAGAGAAGTTGGGCAGCGGTGGGGAACCTTTCGTGCCTCTGGGTTTGACAAAGTGTCCTTAAAACATCCATGGGTGGACACATGTGATCACAGCCTGCTGGCAATCCTTGGGGCCAGACATATGCCTTGGAGATCTTCCCAAACTTCTCAGCACCTGGAGTTCAGCTGGAAACCTTCAAGAACCAGCTAGTCTCCGCTAACTTGCCACAATGCTAGTTTCAAGGCTGCCACACTCTGAGCAGTCAGGATTCTTGTCAGGATGATACTTGAGGGCAAGCGCCTGGATCGAGGCACCAATCCAACACTGAAGGAGCCAAGACGTTTCGTTTAGGCCCTGAGTGACACCTTTGCACTGCTTAGAGAGACGGCGCCGTTTCTGCTCTAGAATCATCTGTGCTCAAATGTTTTGAGAAAGGGACCCGAAATGGCCACAAATTCCAGATGAGCCTTTGAGCATTTGTGATTAAATGATGGTGCAAGAAGTGTGTACACTAGGATTTCTTGCATCAGGGTTGTGAAGATCATCGTTGGTTTCCTGTATGAGTCTGGACTCTCAAGTTGACCAGGGTTCTCATGAAGAGATATCTACAGGAGTTCAAAAGGTGCGCGATATCTACACGGGACTCAGGGAGTCTTTGTGGATGCGGTCCCACGAATTCGTGGATGGTTGGATGTCGCCATTCCAACATGTAGATGAGTGCGGTCGCACTCTCTGGCATGAAATGGCAAGGATCATGAGCAATGGCACGCATGCAACACGGTTGCTGCAACACAACACGTCCTCACAAATCTGGCATAGGGGCCTTGTACGCTTTGCGGATCTCCATCTGATCTACTCCTGTCATTGTCATGAATGACGACTCAAGAGTCGAAGGTCTACGTGTTTTTTCGGCCTTTGGTCAAGCCCATGACCTCGTAGTAGTTGAACTGGTACAGGAGAGACAGAAGTTGAACCGCCAAACCGAGACCAAAGTTGGGCTGAAAAGAATGAATAAAAACAAACACACAAAACATATCTGATGTTTCTTCCAGCAGCCTCATGCTCATCATGGTCAGCAGGATGGTAGCCTTGAGTATCAATCACCATCCAACAGTTTTGCCACTGGAAATGTGCTGCTGAGCAACGACAGTGCTTTTGTGTTGCATGAAGACGCTAACACAAACAACGAAACACAAAACGACCTAAACTAAGAGTCTTAGGTCTTGAAACTGCTGCTTTAGGTTGCAACATGAAATAATGTGGCTGTTCCTACCCACAAAGCTACCAAACAACCTGGTAACCAAGAATTGGTCAGAAATGTGGTTGTGATGCCTGTCCTCGGACCTCTGACCTAATTTGATGCTGCATTCCAAAGGAAGCAAATGCCAAAGTGGCAAATCCTTTTGTTTGAACCACTTGACTAGCTGCCTTCCTCAGCTGCACGAATTGCTAGCCTTGGCTGAGAATACAAAAAGTTATCAACAGTTCTAGGAGCTTGTTCAACGCTCTGGCAAGTCAAATGCTGCAGGACTCCCTTACTTTGATGATCCTGAAAATAGCATTGGACGCAAAAATCTCCGCTGAACCTCAGGACTGGGCATTGCAACGATAAAGGCAAACATCACGGCTGGCCCACCATACGTGTTGGCCTGCAGTGCAGCGATGCGCCCCCCCCGGTTGATTCATTGCTTTGGGAATTCGGATTGGCTTCGGATTCGTCAAGTCCTGCCGTTTTTGGAGCCTTCTCTTTGATGGACTTCACGCTCAGACCCTCGGACCTTGAAACAAAGCATGATTGGCCACCACGGCGACACGGAAACGCTGGGCTACTCACCCGGCCGAGCTCTTACTGTTACCTGCAACATGAGGGAATGGTGTCAAGTCAGCATTCGGGCTTCAAAACGGCTTGAAAGTGCTCCAAGGCATATAAATAATCTGTGTGAAGCGCGTCACGTGATACATGTATGCCTTCTCCAAACAGTATCCTAGTATCCTGTGGCATCAGCCCACTTGCCAAGACAAACTCTGGTGTATATCCTCTCATTTTGTTGTGGACATGCTTCAGGAGCACAATCTTGAAACAAATATGGAGCACCCTCCATTTGCCTTTCTTTTTCTTATCCTCCTTGGTGCTATCCTCTCCTGCAGTTCGCTTCCCGTGTCATGTTCACTGATCTACAGGCTACACCACTATGTCAAGTGCCCCAGTATTCTCCCAGCACTTCCTGAGCCTTTCAAAGCATCCAAAACAAATCCCACCAGGATCAGCCGGAGGAAACGTTCCACCTACAAGCTTGCGGCACTTGCACTGACGCGCCATCGTGCCCAGCTTGGATGTCTCGAGTCTGAAGCGTTTCACCCCGCGCGTTTCACGCGAATTCCCTCTTGGGTCGCCACTATTCTCTGCCGAGCCTCGCGTTGCCTGCGGAGATACACCCAGAGGGGAAACAAACCCTACTGTGCCTTGATGGAAGCCAAATCTTTTCGGAGAGAACACAAGGAACTTACAAATCCGCAGCTCCAGCGGTGCCCAAAGTTGGATGCACCTCTGCAACTCCATCTGCTCAAATGCGTCCATGCCCTTATCCTGGCCAAATAGAAGGTATATAAAATTACATTTGCCTCGGCCCCCTTTATTCTAACGCTCGCTTAGACTCTAAGAGTGTGGCAGACCGGAAATACACTATGTTTCTCTCAGGAGCTCAAAACATGCTGGTTCGATTCATTCATTGTTTTGGACCAGAAACAATGGTCAGTGAACCCCATCAGCATAGCTGCCTCATGACCAGAAATGGGCAGCCATAAGCAGGAACCAGATCGTCTGAGCCAAACGCAGGCGCCCCTTGACCAATGCTTGTCTGGCGACCGCAGAGAGCATGGCACCAAGTGATCCGGCAGCCAAAACAGCAGAAATCCGACGGGACAGGGAGCCGTGCTGAGAAACGTGGAATTTCTACTAGTAGTAATGGCCTCCAACCTAATAGAGATGGCCTCCACCCTAGTAGCTTCAAGTTACTATATATATATATAAGTAGCTGTTTGCTACTAGTCTCTTTCTCTCAGTTCAAGCATTTTTTCCTCTGAGCTCGTTTTGGCGTTCCCAAAAGGAAATGAGAAATGGGACACTGGCCGTGGCCCGACAACTCGGTGAGAGAAGCTCAGAGACAAAACACGACTGGGGCAAACCAGTGGCAAGGACTGTTGAGAAACAAGAACCTCTGGTCGAATAACTAGTGCAGCTGTTTTGGAGCGCACTTCTTAAGTCTCGAAATATAAAACGGAAAAGCAAACCAATATCTACGAACCCTTTCTTATGTGAGAAGCTTCCTTGAAGAGCCCGAACAAAGCTTCCTTTCTAAGTCCCGAAGTGCTCGCTTAGTCTAGACAATTACAATACACCTGGCGCCTACCAGCGTCCATCCAAAAAAATCAAGCAAAAGAACGAGGAAGTCCTTCTTCTTCTCGGGCTTCTTGGCTTTGCCGCTTGGAGGACCTTGAACACGCATGCAAGGAGCAAAGCATCCGACTTGAACTCTGCAAAATTCAGACTGGATAGTGACAGCAAGAGTTTTTTGCACTCTATGGGCGTCACCAGAGGTGTCATCCTGAGTGCTCAAAACACTACCTTTACAAGCCAAGCTACTCTGGAGCATTGAACAATGAGGTACCGAAGTGTGTTGAATATAATATATGGAAATCACATGAAATCACACTGCCGAACGCCAAGGTTTAGACCTCATCCTCCTCAGCAGTTCAGCGGTCAAACATTGTTTTGAGGGCTCTACATCTTTCAGAATCTGCTTCGTCCTTCTCCCTGCCTGCGCGTCCTTGCGAGCGCTGCGCTGCGCCTTTCGAGTGATACAGCCTTACTCATTCCCTGCAATGCAGACAGTTGGCCCCCAGGTGTCGCACCTTAGCATCCTTCTTGGCCCTGCCAAGGGGAGAAAAGAGAAGTCACACAACGTCACCGTCGAGCACGGCCCTCACCAAACAAGCCGGCTTCGCCCCATGGCAGCCAACCGGTCACCCAGGTCGCTGCACTCTGACGTGCCGCGGTGAGCCGGATGGAAACAGCCATCACTAGGTGGGAGACCATCCTTATTAGGTTGGATTGCTATTAGGTTGGAGGTCATTACATTACATCAGAAACAAAGACTGGTTCCCCAAAAATGAAGGCACCCAAAGTAAGGCACTTGTTACTACTAGCTTCCTACCCCCCAAAGAAAGAAAGGAGACCTAATAGTGATGGCCTCCACATTCACACTGCAGCCGTTTAACTCCCTTTTTAACTGACTGGCCAGAGACTTCTACATCGGTCTTACAGGGTCTTATTGTGTTGCCAAATTGGCATTGGCCCGCGTGCACGACAAACGGTGCATGTTAAAATTGCTGTGTATGTCCCAATGCGCTGGAGTTGAGTGCTTTGTGCAACAAAGCAGAACGGTCAACTCCCAAAAACAAAGGGAACAAAGGAATATGGCGTTGGGTTGCCTCATGATGGCTTGTTGCGACATTTGGGCAAACCCACCTTCCGGCGTGTCTGCCGAAGTTTGCCAAACACTTGATGCAAGAGTCCTGGAGTCTTGTTGGAGCACAGCTTTGTTGGAGCAATAATTCCGTTGGCATCGCATCAGCCAAAAAATAAAGCTTAGTCATGCCACCACGGCTACCCAGGAATTCAATGGAGGACCTTTCTCCTCGAGCCTCCTTTCCAATCGCAGGCGCCAAACAATAAGATTGCCACGACTGACACCTGGATGCCCCGTGGAAATAGTTCCGGTGCTTCTTGAAGAAATGCTGAACAGACAGTAACAATGGCTGGTCTGGGCCAATCGCTTTACCGCGCCTTCAGATGTCATGTCCCTATCATATCCGATCACGTTGGACTCGCGTTTTCTCTCGTGCCAACAGGACTGTTAATGTCTTCCACCGTCCATCATCACATTTTATGAGATATAGCTTGCTAATCTGATTCTGATGTTGGACAAATAAGAATCCAACACCATCTCCCCTTTGATGTTGATCCAAAGAAATCGATGTAGTTGCCCCAAGAATTTGCCTCCAAAACAATGGGTGCTGCCTGAAGAGGAGGCCTGAGTGGCCCTCACTTGAGGAGCCTGACTACTGTACAGCTTCAAAAAGACCTACCAACCACCAATAGGTGACGACATTTCCTGGCCTCCCATGGGTTGCCCATGGGACTCCCTTTTTGTTGCAGATCTCTTGGTCTGCCCCACACACAGTGGGTTCACGAACCTGCAAAGCTTTGCTTCCTGGTTCATGGAAGAGTACCAACAAATCCCTAGGCAAAAATAATGGCCTTCACCAGACAAAGGCCAGACTATGAGGACCCAGCAGCTTTCTGAAGATACAGCCTAGTCGTGAAAACTTAGCTTGCTTGACATTCCGATATAAATGGACCCATGTCCAACGATGAGCAAAAGGTCCTCAAGTATCTTTCTCTCTTAACTGTCCTGAACGGTTAGCGACAAGCTCACGTTGCTTCTCTGCTTCCCCTGTCCGGCTGGTTCAGAAGTCAATGGATATACCATAGATATATATATATAATACCCCTTTCGTTGCAAGCGTTGCATCCGCTATGTAGTGCTCACATGCTCCAAGCCGAGACAAATCTACTTCAACCAGTGGCAGTTCTTGGAGCACTTGTCTCGTGCGCCTGGCATGGCTCAACACACCTCAGAGATTTCGTGCTGCCCTCGCGGGATTCAGCCCTGAGGTGCTGGGATCCCGGGCAAATATACATGAAGGAAGCACAGGCCACCCAGGGCCTGGAAGAACGTTTCTGCTCCCAACGAGCCGATTCCACTGCCCATCCGGATATACTGAGGTAGACGGTGCCCACTCTAAGACTCCAACACTCGGAGGTGGACAGGTAGCCTGTGCGTTTCGGTGCTGACTCGCATGGAACGGCCAGAAAGTCTATCCAATCTATTCATGTTTGGATTTATTTATGTATATAAGTTGGTTTAAGGCATATGAACACTTGACAGGAAAGGTTCCGCACGTTCACACTCGGGAAAACCGTAAGATGCAAAGCTCCAGACCAAAAATATGTGACGTAGTGACCTTGGAGAATTCGGACTCAGCCGCAGGTGTGCCACCTTTATCTTGTCTCTGGTTTGGTTGAATTTGCTGCTGTGGCTCCGTGCCGGGTAGCCAAAACGTCCAACTCATTGCCATGTCCTTGTGGATATTCGCTCCGTACCTGGGGCCGGGTGAGCACAAGAAACCGGGTCGGTGGTGGACTGAATTGAAAGCTTTGGAACCCGCGATAGCATCATCTTCGCTCTGTTCCAAAATATCAGATCAGAAAGGAATGGAAAGGACAGAAGGATGTGTTACAGCAGTTGCTTCCTCTTGATGGTCATACTCTCTTGCCACGAGGTTCAGGCTTTGTCAAAGCCACAGAGGTTGTCTCTAGAGGGCCATGTGAGCCGCCCTCTACACATGCCTGGCGGAAGAACACGTGTTCGAAGCTGACACCAAAAGAAGTTGAGGTTTGACAAATCGGCCTCCTTCATGATGTAGAAGGTGGGAAAGAAGAAAAAAGGGTCAGAGATCAAATTCGTAGCCTCAACACTTTAATGATTCAAACTCGTGGCGCTTAAGATGGACAAAACGAGGAGGATGTCTTTGCGCTGCCAAATCTGCCAAGAAGCGGCAAGCTTGCACATGCTTGCATATCTGCTTCGACCGGGCCACAGGCTTTCAAAAACTACCTCTGTGTCAAGCGCTTGCGTGCGCACGCTTCCAGCAGCTTGAAAATACATGTCCGACAAAAATATACAAAGCAATACACGCAGCGCAAGCCACTCAAAACGTCCTTCATGGCCCACAGTCAAGCTTCTCCACAATATTTGTGCTTGGGCCGATGCATTCCAGATAAAATACTGAAAGCCACCCTGGAACAGGCCGCCAAAGGACAGAAACCTTGGCAAGGAAGAGGTCTCGTCACCAGGAAGTCCTGTGAATCGCCTGGTTTTTCGTGGGCTCAATCGATGGAATCGGGTTCCGGGGACCCAACAAGAACGATCTTCTCTGGTCCAACTTCTCTTTTTTCTCCATGATCATCTGCACCATGCACAAAGCTGGGCCGCACAAAGCTGGAAAACCAAAAACCCAAACTCACAGAATCGAATTTCTACGTAAGCCAAGCCCACGATTCGGTGGGAGGCCATTGCTATTATATATATATATATTATATAGGATGGAGGTCATTTTTACGTTAAGCCTCCCTTCGCAACCGCATGGATCAAGTGCACGGATTAAGAGCCTGAATGATCGAATCTGCGGCATAGGCCTTCAAGGCACAGCTCAACCTGGTCGTCAATCGCTTGTGGTCCGATTCAATCCACGGTGCGACGGTCCCACAGGTGACCAGAGATACAGAATTGCCAGGTCATCCGTGAGCTCACTAGTGACTCACTGAGTGTCACTCAATGTCCTTCTTTGAGCTAGCGCCAGCTGACTCTAGCTTTGAGCCCATTTTCTTGGTCTCCGCACACTGCTATTAGAATCGGCCGCCGGGCTACAGCATCACTGAGACGCTGAAGGCTATGGTGCACCTGGACCCAGGGGATTTATTGAAGTGCTCAAAGAGTTCAAAGACATAAACCACATCTTCTGCTTTCTCTCTCTCTCTCTCCAAAATGGCAACAATAAGAACGCCGAGAGAGCGGGAATCACAATCACATGGTCTGTTCAAGGGTTCAGCAAATCGGTCTCTGCTTGCAGCCTTGCCTGCGGTGTTTTGGCTGCGTGTCCCCACGCAGACGGTATCTCTGCCTCGGTAGGAAGGAGCAAAAACAGCGAGCAAGCGAAGCGAGCACGATTGATTCGCTGCGTTGCGAAAGGTGGGCTTTTGTTTCCGGTCCAAGACAGGAGGCAGCAATAGATATAACTGAACTTGACAGCCTGCAGGACTTAGAAGCAAAATGAAGCAAAGACCCCAAGCCAAGGAAAGGCAGAAAGCCGTTTTTGCCCCAATCCTCAAAACGAGAGCCGAGCCATTTCTCTTTTTTTTCGAATGTGTAATTTTGGAGACCAGCCTTTTGTTGTGAGAATAGAAACTACAGGGGAGCTGCTTGAGACATGCGATCGACATGCATGAAACAACCCACAGTCACGGCGAAGAGGTCATATGCCGGTAACAAGCAAATCCAGTTTTTGGAAGCAAGCGCAACGACAGGAGCGGTGTTGGCGGCCAAAAATTTTGCCACTTCTTGTCAACATTGATTACCTCTTTTACCTTGTGCGCATGGTGAAAGCTAACGCCGAAACAACAAACACAAGTTGACGTGCTGTTTCCAATGTGCTGCATGAATACATCTATCTATGTGTGTGTGTGTGTGTCGGGGGTGATTTGATCATATTCTGCCTGGACGCGCGCGGAGCCTGACACTATTACTCCCAACCAAAGGGGTATTACTGTATGCCTTTTTTGTGTGAGGGTGTCAACACCAGTGCTTTGGTATGAACCGGTTCCTTCATTGACTCAAAGCTGCAACGGCTCAAAAGCATAGGGTTGGTGCCATAGTTTGTTCAAGCCTGAATACTTGTTGGACCAGTTGGACCTACTTGCACTTCGCCCCTACAACCTGACCGGCACAGTGGCTTCAGCTCGGTGGCACCACGGTACGGAAAACCCTGCGTTCTCTTATTTGCTGAAGTGTTCCTGGCGAACGAAGTGCTCGGTTTCAGATACCTGAGAAGGGGGGGACGAAAGCCAGCAACCGCCAGACGAGTGTCTCTTTTTCTGGCGGGCGTCGCGGCACAAGACACATGGTCGGCAGCTTGGGAGTCAGCGGTGCCGCGGATGCGGGGGGGCGTATGTAATGGTGATGGAGGGAGCAGAGAAGCAAGCCGGGCGGCTTTGGGATAAGTTTGGTCTGAAAGTGAAAGAGAAATGCGATACGTTGTATGTTGGTGTAGGTCATCATCACAAGGCAATGACATGTGTTTGTCACACGCAGGAAGGTGCGCATCTTGTGGAAGTTGGAAGGCGACATCAGCGTTAGCGAAGGGGAAATACCGTCTGAGTTCGAGTGGTGGGACACCACGTGCGCGCGCAGGAAGACCGTGAGTACGGCGTGCGTTTGAAAAGAAGCAATTATGTGCTTGTTACATTTGGAGTGTTTGAAGTTTGCAATGCATACTGCGGCGCATCGAAAAGCGGCATTCGTTGGTTTTGGAAGAGTGAACGGGCACATCTTAGCCGGGACACGGACGTTTGCTCCCGCGGCGCAGAAGGGGAGGTCCAGCGGGAGTAGCTTGGGCTAGCAAAGGAGTGAGGATTTGTGTGCCTATCGATGCACATGGCTGGACTTGAGTGAGTCATGTTCTGGCTCGATCTAAAACACAGTCTTTTTCCTTTAAAGGGGCCTCTATTAAACGATCCAACCTCTTCTTTATTCTTCTCTTTGTTATTATCAACTCTGCGCCTTTCTCACTCAGAGGCCTTGGCTTTGGTGCCTGCATGTGTAGATCTCGGTGGTCGCCGTATCATTAAAAAAGATTCGGCCAGGGCTGCCAGCAAAAAGGCGACGTCATGAGTCAGTAGTACATAGAATTTATCTATCTATCTATCTATCTATCTCTATCTCTATCTCTATATATATATATGTATGTATGTATGTATGTATCTATCTATCTATCTACCTATCTACTGCACCGGCAAGCTGGAAAAAACGTTCGGTGCGTGTGGACGCCGCGAGAAGCATCCACTCGACGGATGACATGGTGCAAGTATAGTTTTTGCTAGGGGCAGGAGCCCTATGCGAGTCAACCTCGCAGGCATCCCCACCGAAGCTCAATCCAAATTCATGGACTTGAACTCATGTCACTTTCGGTTCTCTATGGATTTCGCGAGTTACGGGTTTTCCTGGGAACTCGTATCCTACATGCGGCTGCGGTCTGCTCTGTACGTGGGTCTCTGTCTCCACTCGATTGCTCAGTGCCCATTGTCCAAATAGCCTCCAAAGCCCTTCATGATGCTACTGCTTTTCTGACCCTCGCTTTGGAGCGCTCTCCCCCACCAAGCTCTGGGTTCACCCTCTCAAAATGTCCCTCTCAACAACCACCCCCCACACCCCTTAACTCATTTCGTTCGCTCTAAAAGCTCAAGCCTAGCCTATCGGCTGGCTTTCGTAATTAAGGCTTAATTGTTCCAAGTATGGTCTCAAAGACATCAAGTTTCGGGTGTAATCTTATCAACCCCCCCCCTGTAAACTACACAAGCGGGAATGCTTGTGTACCACCAAAATGGAGTTCCCTTTTGAGCCTAGCAGGTGGCCAAATTTGGCAATAATCTCATTCAGCATCCACCAGTGGATGAGAGATTCTATGCATCTAGCAGTGTCTCAGAATGACACGAGCCATTAATTGCAAAATGATGGAAAGGTGAAGTAGAATAGGTAAAAGCCGAGAGCCGATCCAACAAGATTGGCAGCTTTGCTGCGCAAAGACTGTCATCGTTTTCTTTGTCATAATTTGGTACTCTTTCACCAAGGCGAAGACCGTCATCGTGGAGAAAACGCTTCGGCCTTTGGTTGGTCATGTGTGCGCACATGGTGGGTTTTGAGTAGGCCAGTAGGATCTCGTGACTGTTCAATCCACTTAGACCATGACAGACCATAGCCGCCAGTCCTCGACCAGTGTGAGGAAAACGAGTCAATCCTAAATCATAAAGCTAGGGGGTGATGCTGCAGAGAGGCATAAGTAGTATTAAATGTGCATATATGTGGCATCACGTGATGTCGAATATCTCGCGCCTGCGCCAAGCAGCTGTGGCGATCTGGCCGATCTGGCCCTCGGAAGACACCCAAACACGCTGCCGTTGCAACATGGAGGTCCCAGCAAACCTATCCAGCCAACCATATGGGTTTGCCTACATAGAGGTCGCTCGCCTGGCTCCGGACGGTCTCCCTTCCCCGAGCTAGGAATCCAGCAATCTTCGGCAAGCCTCAAACTGTTGCTCCGTGGTCGAGTTCCACATCCCATTGTCCCGCAAAGCTCCGTAAGTGTACAAAGACGGACAAGTTTCTTAGAGATTCTTAGAGGTATTTTGTAGCTCAGGACTCTTGTAGTATGCACGTAACTTTACAAATTTCAAAAATGACACCCAAGGAAATCGCAAGACGAAAGAGACCAATAGAACTCGGACCAAGCAATGTCACCCGGTTGCGCTGATTGTCAGACCGCCAATGCCAAGGGCCCCACGGTCACCTGTCGGAACCAGTTCCACGAGTTCACCCGCTCATTGGTTTCTTGAAATTCGCTATGTCTTGCGTTTGTGTGCTTCAAATTCTAGCAAAGAACACTGGGCTCAGTATCTATGTTTCGCTACCAAACTGGCACCTTGAGGCCTTCCACAGGCTTGCTGCTAACACCATACAAACCCTTTGAAGCCTATCCTTCCAAGATCTAAAGACGCTTCATTCGCCTTCGCTCCGCCGAAAAGCGACATTGGCTGAGGTTGCTAAGATCGAACTGTCTCCCGCAACCGTGCCCTGTCACATTCCTAAATAAGCTTATGAAAATGGCCATCGGATGCAGCTCAAGCAGAAGTGCCAAGTGTTGACTGGACTGGCGTTTCAGAAGAAAAGCACTGTGCCTTTACAATACTTCCCCCAGTTTCGGCCTAGTTCGCAATAAAAACAAATTGATAGACATGCTCGCTTGTTAGAGGTGTCTTCAAGCTGGAACAAAGGCTCAAAGGCTCTCATGCTCCAATTTCAGCGCGCTGCTCTTCTTGGAAATCATGCTTGATCTGAGTCATCTCAATTTCTGAGAATTGTGGAACTCTCTTCACCGAGGATCCAAGCATGAACCACTTGCTCTCCTTTAGGATAAATAGAAAATGGCTTTGTATGCATTAGATGCTAGAGCTTGCCTTTGTACAAGGCTGTTTGGTAGATTCCTCGGTGTTCCTAAAGTCACAGCAAGGCAATCACGCCACATCTCCCACCGTTCCTCAGAGAGCCGCGACACTACGCTTCTCCATGTGCTTGCTACCATTGGGCCAATCGCAAAGGCGCAAACCTATGACTCCTCGGCTGCCTTTTTCAAACGCTTCGGTCAGGTGAACCAGTATAACCAAGTCGACTTCGCCTGGCTTGTCTGGCTCCAAAACTCCGAACGGGCCAGGTGCCGGCGGTCCAGGCGGCCCAGGTGCTCCTTTAGGCACTGTCTCCAATCCAACCCCAAGAGGCCAGGACCAGAAACATGGCCACAGCTCCTCCTGCCAATAACACAAACCAAAACCAAATCCGACAATCGGGTGGTGCTACCAGTCGGAAGACTATACATGGAAAAACAATCATCAGCAGGCTGACTAGTGAGCCTCCAAGGAATGTGATCAGCTGCACTACGTTGCTGAAGCAAAGCGAGAGCGTCATCGGAATAAGAACTAAGATCACTCCCAAAATTTCATGTTCTCGATTGGCTCGCGTGCGGGGATCCGTTCCAAGAAGAATCCGTCGTAATGCCTTTGGCATCTTGTCAAATGGCCGCATGTTCTGCACAGACTCCCGAATGGGAAAAACATTGAGCGGGATGGCAATCGACAAAGAGAATGCAAGCCCTGCACGCACGCAGATGAAGGCTGGGTTCTCCGGGGAGTACAGACTCACAATGTTTGGAGCATGAAGAAGTCTCTCCCCCCAGGTAATGTAGCCTCCCCACGCAATCAAGTAGTATAGAAGTCCCAGCAAGCTGGATGATGTAAAGGACAAGGCAAGTAGTCGTGTCGGTGTCGCATCGTGAAATTCACGAGCTACGGCGACGCAGTTGGTATGCCAAAATGAGGCAAAGACCTTAAGTTTTAGTCAGGACACGTCGTGAATTCTTCTTGGTTGCAGTACAGGCTGCAAGCAATTTAAACACAGGCCCTTCCTCCCCCCTTCACACACCAAATGTGGAAAAGGCTAAGTCTGCGGCGACTATACATAGCCTCAGATTCTGTCACTCATTGCATGATCAAAAGAAAAGAAGATATCCCGCAAACTATGTTTGCAGCACGCTAGGACTGCTGGGACAAGAGAGAGAGAGAGAGAGATGTCCAACAAAAAGGGATATAATGACCTGTGCATTATGCATTGGATCCTGGGCATGCATATATTCTGCTATGGAGCGGCTACCACGGAAGCGACTTCGAAACAGGCAGAACGAACGAGCAAACAAGCTTGGGTTGGTGGGAGAGCAGAACCTGTGGAATCTCCTCTTAGGGTACAAACATTACCTCTCTGCCAGCATGTAGCAAATCCGATTGGTTCAAAAAATGGCGGTGTAAAAATATGTAAATGATGTAGTATCGAAAGCAGAAAACCGAAAACCAAGATTGTCACGATTCGCCAATGGTGCTTGGATCCTCACTTCCTTTGTCTCCAAGCCACACTGCCGGGGAACGGCGAACCCAATCGTCCGCGAATGCAGCAGCCAGAGGTTCTCTGAGTTCGACGTGAGGTCTTATGTCTTCTCTGTGGATAGGAAAAGGACCGAAGGGGCACTCCATCCAGATGCTAAACCTGGAAGCGGAACATGCGGAACTTGGAAGAGGCTTAAAACCTCAAATCATGTCAGTCCTTTCTCATTGCAACCAAGGAGCATCATCAACCATAGGACTGCTGGGCTTGAGTTTGCCAATCTGCAGGTCATGACGCAGGCAAAACAACACCAGTGCTGAATCAACTCAGACTCAAACTGAAGCCCAAAAAGTCTCAAACATGCGCGCCTTGCGAGCCTGCCAATGGTAGGCCAGGTGCTCAGCCAGCAACCCACGAGGGCCGTCCACAGAATGGTGACCACATGGGCATAGGGCTCACCAAGGTGCTTGGAATTGGCAGGCCAAAACGAGATTCGTTCCAAGGATTCAGACACAAACAGAAAGTACACCGTCAATGCCAGCGTATTGTGGAAAAAAAGCACACAATCCAAAATCGTTGAAGCGAAGGGAAACACGTCATTGGTGGCTTTCTCCACCAAATCTCCATAAGAAGGCCCCACTCGCGTCACAAACTCTCGAAATGAGGTGCTCCGTTTGAGGTTCGGTGAGGGGGACATGGGGGACGTGGGTTCCATGTCTTGCCAGGTAGTGGGAGAAGCATGTCTCGCCACACCCTCACTGAGCTGGTGGTACGGATGTTGTGCACCCCGATAGAGCTCTTCTTCAATCCAACGACGCCGAACCTGCAAGACTCACTGTGATGCCCAAAGACTCGCAAAAACGACGTCTTCGACGCAATGGATTGGAGCCTATGTCTCATCTCCGCCCAAGTCGGTCCACTTGGGGGAAAGGGGAAAGCTGCTCAAATTGATCCTGGTCTCCTCAAGCATAGCCATGGACAGGAACCAGGTGGTCAAACCAGATATTGCAGCTCCAACGAAAAAGTACACAGCAGCAGGTACGCAGCCAACTGCAGCCATCGATCTAGGAAGCCTCAAAGGAACCAAATTCACAAGATTATACAAATATTTGCTGCACTGGAAACGATGCTTCAATCAATCATTTTGCGCGCTGAGCCTTCTTTTGCACACACATGCTTTTCTTGAAAATGATCTTTTCATTGATATGTGTGTTCACTTTCAGGTCTTCAGAGGCGCTGCTCAAAAACGGAGCCTGAAGTAAGTCGAGATGTTCATCTCGCTCGTTCCTTCGTCTTCCACCTTCGTCTTCCCCTATACGTTATACCCTGCCATGGAGTGTTCCAACCTCTTGCATCTGAGGAGCACCAGCACACCAGATCCGATCCCGGAGGCCAAAAGCAGAGTCATCGACTCTCGAAACGTTCGGTCATGAGCCACGCCATCGGATGGCACCGTGGGCGCCATGTCGTTTAGCTGAGCTATGAAAAGTACCCGTAGATGTCCTATGTCCTCCGAACTCCTCCAGTTCCTTTTGGCAGCAAAAGATTTGCTTCAAAATAAACAACCTGCTTGACAAGTGTCTTCAAGAAATTGAGTCCATGTTGAGCCAGTGCTGCCCCAAAGCCTTTCATTGTATCGTTTTTTCGTCAGACTACAGCTAGCAGGTGGGGACAAATTATGACAAATTCCCACGCCACCATTGCAGGTAAGCCAGGCAGGACCCCCCTTAGCACAAATCCAAAGTCTGATGGAGAGTGTATATTTTTATATAGTATTGTATCTATCCCGAATATCCAAACATACATGTACATGCCTTGAAATTGATATGTATGTAGCCTTATCATGAATGAGTCAAAACATTGTACAGCGCCTTGGTGCTAATGCAACCGAGTGTGTGACCTTTTCCACCCTCTTCTCCCTTCTCCACGGTCTTCTTGATGCCGATTGCCAGCTTGTTTGGTACCTATGGTAAACCGTAATTCGCAAGAACGGGCATCGACTGGCGGTCCACCGGAAGATTCAAAAAGAAAGAAAAGACGCACGTACTCGTTGTATGGGCACCTGCTTGATACCCACTGCCAGTTTCTGCGTGACCTGCTTGATGCTACCTGCACCATGGATTTGCATTCAAGACCACATGTCACGCAAACTGCAACTGGGTTCCTGATTCCTCAACAGTTCCTCAACTGGTCAATAGTTCTTCTTGTTCTTCTTGCTCCATCATCGTCACGGGTATGCAAGGCAGCAGACTGGTCAGATGGGAAGCCATGTGACACGAGCATCTAACTTCAATGTACCGCAAGAAATGGTGCGTACGTGCGTACGTGCCGAACGAAACGATCGCTGGAAGCCCAAATTCCGAAACGTGCCTAGGTACCTTCTCTCCGGGTACCGTCCCTGCCCACCCGCATGTGCCTGCAATCTGGCCAATAAGCTCTGTCTTGGTCGGGAAGTCCTGAAGTTCGAAGCAGAGGACAGCAAAGCACTCAGACCCATCTTTCACAAACGGGGACAAGAAATGACCAGGGTAGACTTGAGCCTTCATCCATCAAAGCCATTCCACGATCTTAAAATGCCCAGGGATTCTACGCAACCTCTACCCCATCTTGGTGCCAAGTGCGATTTTGTCGCCCATGACATAGCCGATTCAGTGCCCAAATGGCGATTCTCTGCTTTTTCGGAATAAAGAAAGCACTCCTGGCCTTGACGATATGTTTGACATAGGAATGACTGGTTTCGGCCCATGTGTCCACCATTCGCTCCTTGAGCTTCAAGACCTCCCCACCGTCAAGCACATTCCTGGCGAATCCAACAACCGTCAAGAACAGTGTCTGTGGTATGGTAAAGACCTGGTTTTTTAACCCCGGGGGGTAGGCCGCTAGAGGTGGTATATATATATAGCTAAAGGTAGGTAGCTAGTAGAAGAGGTCGCTAGTAGCTCAAGTAGCTACTACTTAGGACGCAGGATAGCTCGCGCTTCTTCAAGGAAGCCCCCCCGTCACCCTAGAGGCGGCCGGGGAAGCTTCCTTGAGGAAGCGCTCGCACCAATGATCTGGTTCCTAGATTTTAGAGAAACTTAAGGTTGTGAGAAGAAAAATGTTAAGCTCCACAAGCCTGCACAAGGAAGGTGTGATAAAGGCCTGTACAATAAGTCAAACTGGTCAGGCAAGCCATTCTTCTGACATGACACCACCAACAAGTGATTTCAGCTCATAGGTCAGGTCCTTAGTGATTCGAAACGCTGACATGTCATGTCTAGTATACACAATCTAGATGCAAGGACAGAGTTCCAAAACTACATATTCAGCGTAAATGTCGGTGAGTCTGTTCCTACTTAGCCCCGCACATCGTCCATAACCTCTTTGATCCCATCGATAACGGCCTAATAATTGTTGTGTGTTGTGTGGAATGCACACAACAAACTCAGAAGGGAAAGGAACGTATCGTTTCTGGCTGCTTTTTGCAAAACAAGCAGAACACAGGCTCTGTGTTTAAATGTCACCCTTAGCTGTGTCCCATGCGAACTCTGTCACAATGACCCTGTGTGGCGCGAAGTTGTTTTTGAAAGGTAGGATATTGCAGAGCTCATGTTTTTAGTGTTATTTAGAGCAATAGTACCTTGTTAACTTACATTGATGTCCTAATGCAAAGATTGATGCATTATTTAAGTGAATTAAGTCCCTTTGATCTGATAGGTTGGATTCCCTCAGTGCTTTTGATTCCTTCTGAATTTATTCTGGCTTGATTACATAGCTTAGATTGTGCAAGATCCAACACCTCCTTGTGAAAGCCCTTTATAAATTCTAGCTTCAAGCGATCAACAATTACCAAAAGTCAAACTGTCAAACGGAATGAAACGACCAAATGTGTCGACTGTATTCAAGAAACTGCCCAGCTATATTTGGCGCCTATTTTTGTTGTAGTTCCTTTCCTCAGTCTGGGTCCTGATTGTGTGTTTTTGCAAAGGTTTGCTGGAACTCCGAATCCAATGTCTTTAATGCCGAAATTCTTGGTTCCCCTCAACCCAATGCTGCATCACAGTTCTTCTATAAATCTATGTGTAGTGTGTTTACCAAATCCTAAGTCTCAATCCAACATGAAATGTCAGTGAATGCTAGAGCTGGATTTGTCAGCATTTGCAAGAGGGATTTGTGTGTAGCTAGCATCTCTGACGTGGTCAAGTCTGGGTAGGATGGATGTTTGTGCTGCCAAGTTCTCTGATTTCAATGTAAATAAGTAGCACACATGTGCACAATGTCACCTCGACAATCACTACTGGGCTCTCTGGATTTTAATCTAACTTCATTCATCCAGTTCTTGATCACAATCTTCTAACCTATAATTCATACAATCATTGGTGGTTGATCCTAGCTGCAAGGTTCCTTTGACTAGTCCTTTATCGGTTACTCCCATTCTCTATGGTTCCCTTGATAAAGTTCTCTCTGATTTACTATTGTCTCTTGCCATGCGCGGGATCCTCTCTGAAAGGCCGGGCAGGCGCAAAACTTATCATTGGAAGAGTTTTTGATCGTGACACGAGCAGCAAGCATTTATCGCAGCGACCCATCTACACTCAATAGTCAAATGCTAGGAAAGCGTACAACAAATGTCCTACAACACATTCAACACATTTGTGCAAATTTTGTGCATCAGTCAGAGCTCTAGCTTCCCTCGTCCCGCACGTTTGTCAAGCACACCACCAAATAGGGCTCTGTAGAGCGCCCTGGGTGGTTATAAGTGAGTAGCTTAGAAAATAACGGTGCGCTCTAATAAAGCTTGTGAGCGATGCTGTTTGCCACTCGAAACACCCACGTGCATGCATCGTCTAGCCGGCTGATAACGGGCTCATCCCAAAAAGGTGGGTACGCCGCACGTGCGGAAGCAGCAGCAACAGGATTTGCAGACCTGAACTCTTGAACTGCTCTGATCGATGCCCTGAACCCGCTGACTAGCATGCAAAGTAGCCTGAACTTCTCCAGCGCGGCCAAAGATGGTACAATCATTCCTATGAAACAAGCGAGTCCACCACAAATGTCAGGCTAAATCTTTCGAACCTGTACCAAGGATATTTTCTCAGCAAACTTGCCTATGCCTAGACCTGAGCACGAATTTTAATGAGAACAAAGAAAGCAAAGTTGCATCTGGTTTAACCCTTTCTGCAGGTGTCGTAATCAAACAACAACGCGAGGCAGCCATGCTAACTTTGCTTGGCCAGCTGCAGTACGATCAAAACGCTTCTCCAACTTAATATAGGCCTGCAAAAAACCAGGAGTTTCAGTATTTAGTGTGTATATATATATAATGAATGGTTGGAACAGTAGATGTTGCTGAAAAAAATTGTGGCAATTGTGGGATTCTTCACCGGAAACAGCCTGGATGGCAGGCTTGAGGTCTGTGTCTGACTCCACAAAAACATACCTGTGCAAATCTACAAGCAGGAAACATCGGGCTGTAATGCTTGCCCATTGAGGCCATCGCTATCAGGAACAAAAGATATTAGTAACATCTGGTAACAAGGGCATCGCTACTAGTAACAAGGGCATTACTACTAGTAATAGCAAGAAGTTATATACTAGGTTGGAGGCCATCGCGCTAGTAGGATGGAGTCTGTAATGAAAAGCGTTTCTCTACAAAAAGGCCCTTGAGGCAGCGGCACATTGGAGCCCTTCAACAGCGGGCTCATGGCTTCCCACTCAGTCCCTTCCATCGCTTTCCTGTTCGACGAAGTCGTATCAACGTCGACATGTTTCCTGCACAAGTCGTCTCTTCTGGTCGACACGTGTCCTTTTTGAGGAATGGCTCCCTTGTCCCTTGAGGATCCAGCTTCACCAACGAATTCTTCAGGACACGAACTTTGCAGGTCTCAGGGAACATGGCCCGAGCTTCCTGGATGAGCATTGAACCGAAGAAAGCAGATCCAACTGAAATCTCGTGAATCAAACCTTGGATCTGTTGGATATGCAAATAGGGAGACCTCCAAAAGACCCAAGAAGGAAATAGACCTTTTGTAAATCTTTCGTGCTGCATGCACTAATGCCCACCCTCTCAGTGCACGACCATCGCTTCCCGCCCAAGTGCAGGCATCTAACTCACTTTGTTTTTTCATCACTCTTGCTGATGTTTGTCCATAGAATTTTCCAGCCTATCCAGGCTGTCAGCCACCTTTCATAGTTTGCCCGGCAAAGTGCCAAAAAGGGCATACGGAAAGAATCCAGTCATAAGCGCACAAGCCCCGGGGTGGGAGGCTAGCGGGCCCCAAAAGCTTTGCGGAGACCGGAGTGATTTGAAAAAGACATCTCCACTGGCACATTGTCTACAAAAAATCATCTTTCAGAACTTTGTAAATCTTTCGCGCTGCATGCACTAATGCCCACCCTCTCAGTGCACGACCATCGCTTCCCGCCCAATTGCAGGCATCTAACTCACTTTGCTTTTTCATCACTCTTGCTGATGTTTGTCCACAGAATTTTCCAGCCTATCCAGGCTGTCAGCCA